GGGAGCGGAGAAAGGGGAGGAAGCCGCGAGCGCGGGGGGAGGGAGGAGGGCGGGGAGGGCGCTGACGTCGGTTCCAGGCGTATTTGTTGTAGAGCAGCGCGGCGCCCGCCTTGGACGCCACGCGCCACGGCCCCACCTCCTCGAACAGCCCGCACCCCACGGATGAACACCCCGGACCTGCGGCGCGCGCGGAGAGGGGGAGAGGCGGACATGCGGAGGCAGGGAAATAGTGGGGAGAGGAAGGGGGAAACGTAAATTTGCCGGACAAGGTGGAGAGGGGACGGGTAGACCCAGGAATCCCCGGATGCTCGTGCGGGTAAGGACGAAGTTACCCGCAGGCTTGCTTCCTACAAGCCTGACTCAATATGTGCCGTTCTAACCGGGAGAGAGGAATAGACGCTAGCCGTCCTCAACGAGAGTGCGGAATCGGACACTGCGGCTGCAGGGGGGATTATCGGCTGCTGGGGAATCATCAGAAGGTTTCACCAGCCAACGCCGTTAAGGGTCGTCCTATAAGGCACCGCCGTTGCGTTCTGTAATGCATCGCGGTAGAGTGCTTCCTGGAAGCTCACCGCCGTTGAGCCAGAGCAGCAGCGGCTTCGAGTCGGGCTGCCCGATGGCCTCCACGAGCCAGTAGAAGTACGCCTTCCGCCCGTCCACCGTTATGTAGCCGGCTGACTGGTTGAACTTGGGCGCGCTTGCCGGCTGACCGGGTAGCTTCGCCACGGCATCTGGCCTGCCCTGCGCCGCTGCTCCCGGCGCGAACGGTAGGACTAGAGAGAGCAGCAGCGGCAGTAGACATTGTGCTAAAGACAAGCGCGTTGTTTTCTTGCTGCGTAAATGCGGATTTTGTTTAGGAATGAATGCGCTGAGGTGGATATGTCTCCGAGCAACGGCATTTCGACACGTGGAATGAGATCTCGCAGCGCGGCCAGACTGCATGCCGACGGATTGAACGACGTTGTCGAGGTGTGAAATAAGAGGCACGGTGAAGATCGCATAAATAAGTACTTTATTGTCGGCTGGTCGAGACGTTACGCGAGTCTAGGGCCGCGACTCGATCAAATGCACCGAAGGAGGAGAGTGAGTGTGCCGAAAGTAGGTGCTAAGCGGAAACCGTCTAGGTGTTTCAATGGACATGGCTAGGCATCGCACGGGCACGAACGAGAAGTGGAGGTAGCGAAGAGCTAACATGTGAACATAGCTAACGGGCGAACATAGCTACAACGGCTGTACTGCGTGGCGCCGCTGGTGCGGTCTGCATCGTTCTTGGGCCAACGGAGAGCGGAATTTGCACAACAAAAATAGCACTTGCGCCAGAAGCGGGTGGAAGGTAAGTGATAAGCGGAGGTAATGTAGGACCTTCGGGGAATGGGTAGGGGAGGGAGGGTGTGAATGGGGGTGGCGCGGGCGGGGAAGGAGTGGTGGTTGTTGGGCTGGCTGGCGGACAAGCTCAGCTGTCTCCCCCCGCGCCACGAGGCTGACAGTCAAAATCATCGGCTGTGCGAGTGCGAGGGGGTCGGTTAGTTGGTGTGGGGTTTGTGTGGGCTGGACTGGGCTGGGCTCGGCTGATGGCTACTGTACACTTGTCATGCTCTGGTTTCTCCCTCAAGGCGCAACGCGACAGTCTGCGCCTGTTGTGTGCTCTGGGGGGGTGAATGGCTGTGCAATCATCATTTCGATACGAAGGAAAAGATCAGAAAGGGACCCCGGAGTAGCAGTAAAGTGGCCGACTTGGGGCCTCTAGAATCGCGCCCCTAATACGTAGCCCCGAAGCAACCAACACACCTGGGCAGTTAGGCCGAGCCTGGCCTTCTCGCCAGGTCACCACCTACTGGCCTGGGTTTGACGGAATTAGCTAGTTACCCGTCATCAAGAATTGCCCAGAAAAACATTTTTTTTAACCCCAAAGTTTCAACATCGCAATGGTACAAAAAATAAACCCCATTCGGATGGCATATAATTGGGGAAGCATCAACCCTAAACACCATGCGGCAAGATGTTCAGGGCTGAGGACCCTTCGAAGGCATGACGCAGGAGAGGAAAATTCGTCAATTTTTATATGTCGAGTCAAAACTTTCTTTGTCGTCAAGGAAGAATTCGTCACCTTGTGTGGCTAGCTCTGACAGAGCGCGTGGATGAGGCTCGAAATTGGTTGGGTACAGGTCCGGCCCAGGCTCGACTCCTTGCGACACACGAGGCCCCAAATTGGCGACTTTTCCCTTCCTGGAAACGGCTACAAAAGGAACAGCACATCCGAGATCAATGTATCTGCTGCTAAAACGAGGAGAAATGCTGCGGAGGATGGAGTGATTGAGGATGCAACGGAATGGTCAGTGGTCACCTGCGAGAAAATGGTAAGGCTGGATGAGTGATGAATGACGTTCACTATATAGGCGCACCACTGCAATTCTAGTTCATGTATCCTGGTTGTTCCAAGATGTAGTTATCTTATGGCACAACTACAGCCCATGGGCAACTCATGTCCCGTAACTTGTAGAAATTTGCTTCCTCCTGCAAAGGTTGTTTCATGCATATGAACAATGCAGGAAAACACAGTGTAGCCTCTGTAAGTCAGCACAATCATCTGCCTCTACCTGTACCAAACAGAAGCGAGTCTACTTGATCAGCCAACCCCGCCACATCATCACTGCCACCCAACCCCTCTCCACCACCACCGCCCCTCACACCTGCGCTCCTCCCTGCAGCTGAATCCACACCTCTGCTCGCCTCACCATGCCCCCGGGAACCACCTTCCTCAGCAGCACCACTGCCCGCATGAGCCGCTGCAGACCTAGGATCGGCACGGCGGTCCGACCCTGCCAGTGGAGGCCCTGCACATGCCTCTGCATGCCCCTGCCTCTCCGCCGCTGCTTCTCCCTGCGCCTCAGGGGAGGTCGGCTCGGGCCCGTCCAGCGAGGGTAGCCTGGGCGGCACTCGGATTTCGAGCAATGATTGCACGGGCTGGCGGCAGATGGGGCACTTGTTGGTCTGGTACCGCAGCACCTTGGCACAGTCCGCACACATGCACTGCGAGGGTATGGGTCGGTGGGGGTGTTGGACGAGTGGGGAGGGGGGGGGGGGGGGGGGGGGGGAGGAAGGGGGAGTACCGCGAGGGAAGCACACGCAAGTTTGCACAACTGCAAATCCAAGATGAATTGAATAAAGGTTTAATGAATGCAATGATCAAAGCAACAAAAGATGGTGCAGCGAATATGGAGAGTGAAGGGGTACCATGTGGCGGCAGGGCAGCACGGTGGTGTCTCTGGGCGCGGACATGCAGATCACACACTCCTTGCCCGCCACCTCGTCCTCCTCCTCCTCCTCCTCGTCGCTCAATGCCGACCCCTGACCCCCCGCTCCCTCTGCCTCGCCCTTTTTGCTCCTGCCCGGGTTGGCCCGCCCGCACTGCTCGATGCCGTAGATCTCCTGCACGGACGGCCGACAACGGATTAACACACAACCAACCCAGGCAGCAATGGAGGGAAGAGGAGGAGGTGGGGGGAGAGGGGGGGATGGGGGGGAGGGGGAGGTGAGTGTGGTGGTGATGTACAAGGATGGGTGGTGGGTGAATGCAAGGACGGGAAATTGGTGAGCAAAAGGTCGAGGGGAGTGGAGTGGTGCAAGCATGAGAGTATTGCCCCCACGCGCGCACGCACCTGCACCTCGTAGCTGGTGCCGTCCACCCAGATCTTCTGCTTCACCGGCCGCACCACGAATAGCCCGGGCAGCTCCCCTGTGCCCTTCCCCTTATCGCCCTCCGCCGTCTCCCCTTCACCCTCTTTCTCCGTACGCGCTACAGCGGCCTTCTCGAGCACAGCGTAGGTCATCTGAGACTGCACCGACGGGGGCAGCGGAGCGCCTGGATCCGAGTCGCACGATTCTACGCCATGGCTGCCGACAGAACACGGCTCTGACGACGACGCGCTCGCGGGCGCGCTGGACTGAACGTTACTGACACCGCTGCTAGCGCTACTATTCGGCGATGCTACTGTCGCGGATTTCGAGCTTCTGGGCTCGACGCGGGTGCGAATAACGAGCGGATACACGGGGCTGGGGCTTGAAACCCTAAAGAGATGCTCTTCTGGGATAACCGAGAGGTCGACGCCCGTGCCTGACGGCTGCACGAACTTCTGACCGAGACCCTTGGCGAATCGCACGACCTTTGGCGTGTGCACGTGCGGATACACCCCCCTGAGGCTGCACCCCTCGCCCTCCTGCGCCGCGAAGAACACGCTCACACTGCACGCGTACCGGGGGGATGGCCAACGCAAACGACGAGTTACAAAAAGTTGACAAACTGACTTCAACAAACGTAACGGGACATAACCAATTTGCGTGGTGACGTCACGAAACATAATCAATTCGCGTGGAGACTAGAGATCGAGTATCGCAACGAACCTGCCGCTGGTGGTGGCATCGAAGGTGAAGGCGACAAGGTGCTTGCTGGGATCTGCGGGGTCGCGCAGCAGTCGCAGCGAGCTGCGCTTCACGTTCACCTCGTTCCTTATCGTCACCGCTTGCTGCGGCTCCGCTACCACCGGCGGAGGCGGCGCCGGCATCATCGGCGGAACCGGGACCTGGTATGGCGGTGGCGCGTGCCCGGGATATCCGCCGTACCACGGCGCGGCGGGCGGAGGATGCGGATAGTGCGGGTTGTGCTGCCACGAAGAGGGAGACACTCCGCCGCCGGCCTGCGGGTGGTACGCGTATCCGTAGGGATACGGCGCATGGCCGTACGGGGCTTGCGGAACGGCGCCTGCGGGGACGGAGTAGGGTACGGGCGGGTAGTACTGCGGCGGCCTGGCTGGCTGCGACCGACGATGCTGCTGATGCGCGGGTTGACTCGAGCCCGCTCCCATGGCTGCCTACCAACTCAGACACACTAACGTGTTGAAAAAGATCCGCACGCAGTTAGTTTATAAGTCGCGGACAAATTCAACGGATTACATAACGAATCGAACATAAGCCATAGGAGCGGCGGTGAAAGCCGGCAGACGTGGTGGAAATTTGCTAAACCATCCTCTAATGCACAAGTATTCTACTTCTGCAGTACTCCACTACTCTAGGAAAATAGTTAAGAGAAGAAGAGTGAGGGAGGCATGCATGAATGAAGCTGTGCATGCGCGCACCAGAGCAAGGGTGGGGGGGGAGAGCGTCACAGAGGGCGCGGACGACAGCAGCAGGGAAGGCGGAGGTGCAGATTTACGCGGGGTCACGGGGGTGCTGCAGGGGGTCAGCGGAGTGCGGAACAGTGGGAGGGAGGGGCGGGTGCGCAGTGCCGTCAGCAAAGAGATCCAGTGTCAGCGAAAAGGCGCAGCGCAAATGGCACGACCAATCACGTTGCGGCAGAGAACCTAGAACATATCCAACCAAGCACCTGTCTTGAACAAGAAAGCGGGTGTTACAAGAATGCGAGTTACACATTTCGAAAAGTGGTCGCAACATGTTTTTCGGTGGGACATGTTACATATTGTTAAAAGTGAAATTCTGCTGAAACGCGTGTGAAGGCTGGTGTTGGCAGAGTGGTCCACCTCACATCCTATGGACACGGGGCGTTGATGTGCTGGAAAATGTATTGCATCATCCAGACCACACGTCCAAGGAGATCCCAAAGGACAAACCTCCAGGCTGTCACAACTACAGCTCAAAACCACATGACAGGGCGCCCAGATTGTTCCCGTACCAGCCTATATGGCATTCCTTCACGCGCTGAGATCGGATGACTCTCGTTGGGAGCCAATGGAGCGGGTTGCATGTCGTGGTGCCACGTGCCACCAAGCCTTGCCTGGTCTTCCCAAGCCTTTCTGTGAGGCTGGTTGAGCTTCTTGGCTGCACGCCTTTCCGCTTGGCCTTCACCAGCCTCCCCCCGCGTCCACCACCGGAAACCATTCTTTGTGCTTTCCGCATTCGCTTTTATTCAAATCCCTACCAGCTGTTCCTTACTGTCCATGGCCCCGCCCCGAGCATGAAGGTGCTGAATCTTTCGGTAGTCTAAGCCTCAAAGCAGTAGCCAGCGAAAAGCTCTTATTTTGTTTCAGCACTTTGGTGCTCGGATTGCGGCAATGGCTAGTACCGTCGGAATGGCGTCGTTGGGCAATACATGCACAGTTGCAGTGACCTCCCTAACCACTGTACGTCTCAATTTCCCTTACCAGTAAACAAATCAAATGAGTTAATTCAGACACCGCTGACTGAGACTGTTTTATTTATGTAGAGAAACAAACATTGCTGGTTGATTGCTCTGATTGCATTTACTGCATCTGTGAATGGATTTATATGCTTACAGCCTTTGTCTGGATTATTCGTTTTCAGTCTCGCAGGCCCTGTAAGCTTCAGGCGAATGTTGGCTGGGCCAGCAGCACTCTCCTATGTCGCACCAGCAGATGGGCTCCAGGTTGGTCAATTCATGTCCAGCTCTTTGTAACTCTGCCTCGGATGACTTTCACCTCCTTCTCATTTCAGCATTTCGAACATTCACGTGAGCTCTCACCTCTCTTCACCCTTCCCTTATGCTTCTCTCTGGTCTCCGTTGAATTTCTTCCCTGCGATATTTCCTATGCTGAAGAACCATTCTTACGTTTCACACTTGTCCCATGATCATTCCCATGGTCCGCCAGCTTCTTTGTCTCGAGTGGCCCAAATCCCATCGGTTCAGTGCGGCAGCAGCAACCCCACCCCCCGTCGCGACGGCGCTAGCATTTCCACCGCCTCCAGCCGCGCGGAAGACCTCCCCGCAGCAACTGCCAAGCCCGGCCGCCCGGCCAGGGCTCGCAAGGATGCTACTGACGAGGGCAACGGCAGCGCTGTTGAGAAAACCGACCCCATTCGCCGACGCACCCGCGCGAGCAGCAGCAGTGGAGCTAAGGACAAGAAGATCAAGAAGACTAAAGGTGACGGAGACGCGGAGGAGGATTCAGCGGCTGCGGGGGTATCGGGGGGGGAGAGGAGGCGGAAGAGCAAGGCGGCGTTGAGCGAGAATGAGATTCGGCTGGCGCAGCTGCGACAGGAGCTGCAGGCGGCGCTGGAGGAGCGCCAACGCCTCGCCGCGTTGCTGCAGGGGAAGGCGGAACCGGAGGAGACGGCAGCTGCGCAGACCGTGCGCACGCCTGTGGGAGCGGGGGAGGCGGCGGCAGCAGCCGCCGTGCGGAAGGCGTCCGCGGAAAGGGCGCGGGACGAGTCGTTGGCGCTGAAAAAGGAACGAGAGGCGCTGAGAGCGGTGCAGGCGGCGGAGAAGGCGGAAGAGGAAGCTGCGCTGGCGCGCGAGCGGGAAGAGGCCGCGGCGGGGATGCGCGAAGTCGCAGCGGCACGCGCGCGTGCTGATGCGGAGGCGAAGGCGGCAGAAGAAGCAGCGGCGATGGCGAGCCGTGAAGCGGCCGCACGAGCAAGGGAGGAAGCAGACGCGCGCGCTAGAGCAGAAGCCCTAGCGCGGGAGCGCGCGGAGGCGGAGGCGAAGGCGCGGGCGGAAGCAGCGAAAATGGTGGAGCTGCCGCGGCAAGAGCAGCTGCGGAAGCTGCAGCAGGAGCACGAGTTCATCGCCGCGAAAATGTTCTTCTACCCCGGGCAGGTGGAGCCGGGCAAGCCCGTCGAAATCTTCTTCCACCGCCCGGCGAGCGTGTTGAAAGACAAATCTGGAGTGAACGTTGTCGGCGCGTTTAACAACTGGCAGTGGCAGCCGTTCAAAGCGGAGCTCAAGCCGTCCGCGGAGGTGCCTAACGACTGGTGGACGTGCCGCATCCAGGTTCCGGAAGAGGCGTATCAGGTGGATTTCGTATTCCACAGCACGGACAACGTGTACGAGAACAATGGCGGGCAGGACTTCTATATCGCCGTGACTGGCGGCATGGGCGAGGCGGAGTTTGAGACCATGCTCAATGAGCGCAAGCGGGAGGAGGCAGAGCGGGAGGCCGCGGAGGAGGCGGAGCGGGAGCGGCGCGCGGCGGAGGAGCGCAGGGTGGCGAAGCTGAAGGCGCAGCAGGAGGCGGAGCGGAAGCAGGCGCGCGACATGGCGAACGACGCGCGGAACCGGCTGGGGGAGATGCGGCGCACGTGTGGCACGAGTCTTCAGGGCGTGTGGCGCGTGGAGGAGGTGGGGCGCACGGAGGGGGGCGAGCGCGTTGTGCGGCTGCTGTATAACAGGGCGGGTCGACTGCTGGCGCGGAGTGGCGCGGTGTGGGTGCACGGAGGGGTGAACGGGTGGCAGGACGGGCTGTCCGCAACGGGCGAGCTGAAACCAGATAACCAGGAGAACGGCGACTGGTGGTCTGTGGAGTGTGAGTGCTTCATAACTCCCCCCTTGGCCTGCAATGTAACCCCCTCCCTCAGATAGCGACGCCTCCCATCCTATTCACACCCTGTCCCCTCCCCCTCCCCTCAACTTCCTCCCACTTCCCTTCCCTCATCCCCCAGTCCTCCCTTCCGCCCCGTCTCCCTTCATCACTCACCCTCTTTCGCCCAATCCTATATCCATGCCCCCCTCACTCTCCCCGTATTCTCCCGCCCATCCCCGTTCCCCCCTCCCCCCTCAGTGACGCTGCCGGCGGACGCGGTGGTGCTGAACTGGGTGATGGCGGACGGGGCGGTGGGCAAGGCGGGCGCGTACGACAACAACGGGCGCAAGGACTTCGCCGCCAGCGTGGGCAGCGACGACGACGCGCGGAAGCTGTTTGACGAGCTGGAGGAGCGCCTGCTGGTGAAGCTGGAGACGGAGCGCATTGCTCGTGAGGAGCGCGAGGCCAAGGAGGTGAGAGATGGGGTGGGAGGGAGGGTTGGCAGCGGTGGGTGTGCTTAGGGATGAGCAAGGTGGCGAACACCTGTTCGGTTCGCCTCGAACGTGTTCGAGGCGAACCGAAGTTTTTTAGCTCAAATCGTTCGCCGAACAGTGTTCGATGTTCGCCCGAACACGTTCGATGTTCGCCCGAACACGTTCGATGTTCGCCCGAACACGTTCGATGTTCGCCCGAACACGTTCGTGTTCGGGCCGCTGCTGAAATTTGCCCGCGACGAACACGAACAGTGTTCGAGGTTCGCCCGAACACGCCTCCACAGGCGAACAGCGAACACCTGTTTTTTCCTAAACTGTTCGCCGAACCGAACAGTGTTCGGTTCGGCAAAAGAGGGTGTTCGACAAGGGGCGAAGACGAACATGTTCGTGTTCGCCCTTTGCTCATCCCTAGGTGTGCTCGACAGGTGAGGGTGACTTGACAGGATGAAAGGAAGGGTAACAATGTATAGAGACAAAAGCGGAAATATAGTTTCGACAAGCAAATGCACACACACGCTAGCACATTTGCGTTGCGTTGGCATGGGCCTGGCCCTCCCACACTCCCACGCACTTGCACACATATGTACCTACTCTGCATGCTCTTATCCACACTCGCTAATGTGCACTCACACCGCCATCCACTCCTATCCACGCCCACCTCATCGGTGACTACGAGCGTGGTGTCAGAACATTCCTCAGTTCACTCAGAATGACTTCTCAGTCCGCTCAAATGCCACCGCGGGCTAATTGCCTTGAGAAACAATAGAAGGCATGCTCACCACGCTCCCCACTCCGGTGTGCCGAGCAAAGCAAGCACACACGGACACCCACTCTTTTTTTTGCCTGCGCTTCTCTCACCGCCCCCTTGCTGCCTCTTCCCCTCCCACACACGCCTCGCCTCCCCTCACAGGAGGTGAGGCGGCAGGAGACAAAGCAGGCACTGTAGCGGCGCACAAGGGAAACCTTCGTGCAGTGGCAGGCGCACGTGTTCTTCACCGCGCCTGCTGAACCCCACTGCTTTACCATGCTGCTCCTTCACCGCGCCCTTGCTGCCTTTCACTCACTTCCCCGTCACACACACTGGTAGGAGGTGAGGCG